TAACCAATTTTTTGCAAGAGCCAAAACTTTCAAATTTGAGAAAAAAAAAGGCTTAAGAGGCATAGACATGCATTCGATGATATTCTGTTGGTGATTTACCAACAACTGACTATAAAACATATCTGGAACGTACGTCTATATCCGGAGTGATTTGAGATTTGTGCGTAATTGCATTTGTAAACAAACACGTCAATCACCGATTCCTCAAGAGTAAAAGCTCAATCTCGAAAACTAATAACTCTAGCAGGTAGATAAATGGTTCCTCTATCATTTGGTATTGTTTGTTTACGAGATTGAGTTTTTATTCGCAAGAAATCGGCAATTGACGCGTTTGTTTACAAATGCAATTACGCCCAAATCTTAAATCACTCTGAATATATGAAATTAGACTAACATCCGAAGTCCATCCTTTTTTTTCATATTCTGCTCAAAATATACTTTCTGCCCCGCCCTATTCATTAAAAACGGCGGTAAATTCTGTCAGGGGCGGTTGCACATCGTTCTGTTTGAACCTGAAAAGATATAGAACAGCTGGCTGCGGTGGGTTTGGTGCACGTTGTTCTTTGTCGTGATTGGAGAATTCTGACATCAGTAGGCGCTTTCTCTACGAATAAGGTGAGTGAGGTTGATGGTCTTCGGCATAACGATGACGCGCTTGGTGAATATGGCCCACACGTCCGAAGTTCTAAAGGATATGCGGTAGGATTGGGCGATCTTGAATCCCAATTTCCGATTTTTCGGATCGATTCTTTGCCCACGAAGAGCTCGAAAAAATCGATGGTAATTTACGCTCATCATAGACTGCGTAGTAAATTTAATGAACGTAACGTCAACATCAGCATCGCTCCCTACAATGGCGTCACTATTTGCGTTTTCAATATTTACGAATACAGCAACATTTGAAGGTTTGTGCTACCTCCCTTCTGTGCTCATTGCTCCTTACCGTCACTACAACATTTAATTGAATATAATTAAGGAAATAATTTCTTGAGTTACCAACAAGCGTATTTAAATAAAAATCAAAAGATCGATCTACCAAAGATCGATTCTTTGGTACTGATTTAATCCTAGAGCCAAATATAAGATCGATCCGTCAAAATCGATCACAAGAAAGACACCTTGCGGTTTAAGCAAATTTATGGGAAATTTAGATGCTTCCAATTTTTTGTTAAATTTCTTAGTTGTTTAACTGTTTTCACTATTTGTATTATATGCCTCTAAATTGCTGGATAAACTCCCCGTAGAATGGCATAATGCATGACATATTTCACATTAATGCTTTGGAGAAATATGCGTTTGAAAACACCCCCCATTTTCGTTACATGTCTCATTTTTGATTTCTGAATGTGATCCACAGTATAGTAATGAAAGACGTAGTACTACATCAAAAAAGTTTTTTTTTCTGACAAAGTTACTTGAAATAAGCTGAGCTACAACTTTGCCGAAGAATTTTTACTTTTATTTCTCCAAATAAATTTATGATTTCAATGATAATAAGAACCATCCTGGTATTAATTGACACTAAATTGAGGACTTTACTGTTAGGAACAGCTTTGTAGGAGACTCTTTTCTTCTGATATTTCAATTTGATACTCTAAATGCCTATTTTATGATAAATTTCCATTCGGGACCACGTTTTTTTTTGCCTTTTTGGCTATGGCTGCTGAGCAATGGCTTTATCGGTTACTTGGGATTATTAAGGTATATGTTGAGGAGTGACATCTCCGGCTTCTTTAAACTACAACCCTGATGTTCACTGGATATATATAACTGCGACCGCTTCCTATTGTTCTGCCGAGTAGACAAGTCAGAGCAGAAACTGGTAGGAAGCCTGAAATGATAAACAACCCTTCGTGTCTAACAATAAGAATACAATAAGAGTAGCCGATACGGTGTGAGATGCCAGGCTGAATGGAAGATTGTATACACTGAGGCAAATAGACGAAAGAATTTCATAAGGCTCGACTTATGCACAACATAGGGTAAACGCTCCTATAGTAGCGGTACGTTAGAAGCGTTAGGTTCCTATAGTTGTGTATGGAGACTCAATACACAACTATAGGAACCTACCCAAGTAACCAAAAGTTCTGATAAAAGGCCATTTGTGGCTTAAGCAGCTTAGTTGGTGATGGTCTTTAGAATTCTAAGCAGCCTCATTTTTAAGTCGTTATAAGAACTTGAAAGTTCCGGTATAATAATTGAAGAGCATTCTAAGCAGCTTCAGGCGGAACTTGAACGGAACTTTTAGAAACTAAAATAAAAAAGGTTTTTGTCCTCTACACCAATTCTATGTTTAAGTTCGCACTTTTATGAAAGTTATTTCTAAAGACAGGTATTAATGTGTATTGATTTATCAGCGTTAGTAGTAGAATTTAAGCTGTTTGAAGAATTAAACCCAGTCCTTCTGCGCGAGAGCCCCAGCACGAACCGCTGCGTCATCTGAAATATATTAAAGTGAGCTGTTGTCCCGCCTACTGTTGGAGTTGTCAGTGCCAGCTGACTGACTTGCATACGAAACACAACACCTTGATGAATTTTAAATTGGTATTTGCCCGCATGGTATTCCAACACATTTGTGGCGCAGTGGTTAGCGTTAGTAGATCGCATGCCAAATACACGGGTTCGAATCCAGGAAATTACTTTTTAAATTTTTTTTATGTTTGGATAAAATGTTGATGCACTGCATAAATATAAGAATTATGATTTATTCGGGCCACTAATCATTTAATATTTACGTACATTAAATTTTGTTACTAATAAAGACTTGTGAGGATTGCTTCATGTGGCTTGAAAGTTTTATCGGAACTTTATTTGAACTTTATGAAACTTGATAGTTCTGTCGGAACTTTATTTGAACTTTTTGGAACTTGAAAGTTCTGTCGGAACTTTATTTGAACTTTATGGAACTTGAAAGTTCTGTCGGAACTTTATTTGAACTTTATGGAACTTGAAAGTTCTGTCGGAACTTTATTTGAACTTTATGGAACTTGAAGGTTCGGTTGGAACTTTATTTGAACTTTATGGAACTTGAAAGTTCTGTCGGAACTTTATTTGAACTTTATGGAACTTGAAAGTTCTGTCAGAACTTTATTTGAACTTTATGGAACTTGAAGGTTCGGTCGGAACTTTATTTGAACTTCATGGAACTTGAAAGTTCTGTCGGAACTTTATTTGAACTTTATGGAACTTGAAGGTTCATTCGGAACTTTATTTGAACTTTACGGAACTTGAAAGTGATTTTAATCGTTGAATGCGGAACTTTTGGTTACTTGGGTAACGCTTCTAACGTACCGCAACTATAGGAGCGTTTACCCTATATGAATTTCATAAGCGTGGCTTATGAATGATTTTCGGGCAACATGAAGTAGCTCTTATGCGCATTTAACCATTTCATTTTCCCAAGCGTTGAAAGACGAGTGGTCAACGCACGGGCCCCCTTACCTCAACGTCCATTTTCTGGTTCCAGTCTGCACCTATTTATTATTTTTTGTCAACATTGTTTTTCATAAGGTAAATTAATGAAATTCACACTCATTTCTTATGGCTAAAATTCATAAGTGTTTCTTATAGAATTCTTACGTTCTTTTGCTTGCGTATAGGAGTCACTGCGTATTCTAAACGCAGTGGTGAATATGCTCGTGGGAGTTGGGCCAGTCGTACACTGAGTCAAAAGAACGTAAGAATTCCATAAGAACCACTTATGAATTTTAGCCACAAGAAATCGGTATAAATTTTATTGATTTGCCTTATGAAAAATAAAGTTGTAAAAAAAATAATTATAAAATGGAGCAGACTGGAACCGAACCATGGACGATGAGGTTACAGGCCCCATGTGTTGACCACACGTCTTTTAACGCTTGGGAAAATTAAATGGTTAAAGGCCTATAAGAGCTGCCTCATGTTAGACGAAAATCATTGATTCATGAAATTCATATGTGTCGTTCTTAAGTCAAGCATTATGAAATTCTTACGTATATTTGCCTCAGTGTAAGAGAGAGAGAGAGAGAGAGAGAGATCTAATTCTCCCTGTCCCAACGGCTAGCCCCGAACATCATCGATCGTCGGTCTGTGGATGACCAGTGTTATTTTAGGAGCTAATAGGTTTAGTTAGCATTCTCCGATCGTTAGCGCCGGTCAAGAGCCACACGGCTAGTTTTTTTGTATCGTTTAGATTAAGTGCCCATTGTTAGATTAAGGCAATAAATGTAGTTTGTGTAGTTAGTGTTTTTTTTGTTAAATAGACTGTTTTAATTAAGCCGCGAGTGTTGTGATTTTACGGAAGAATTCTCCACCAACAACTTATAGATTACTGCCATTAACCCATTCGAAGAGGCCGAGTGTTGAGCATCCACCCAGTCGAAGGAGCCAATTATCCAGTTCCCCAACAGTATATAAAAACGATTTTGAAATTTATAATTTGAAAATAGTTACAGGATTAAAGAAAGGCGAATTATTGCAACATTAGTTTACCCTGAAGAAGACGGTTAAAAACAGCCGCAACGTTGGGTAATTAGAACCCATACAAATCAGAACGGTCAGACAATCAAACTGTCATTCTCAAAATTTGGCAGCAATTTGGATTTTGAGGTTTCGCTGTGACTCAAGGTTGAGTTCAGATCTGAATATAAATCCTTGACAACCCTATTGAACCATTTTATGAAGACGTAAGTACGTAATTTACAGTGATAAGTGCTTTCAGCTACTGGCAGACTGCAACAGTATAGCTTCTATCAGCCAGCAGTCTGTCAAGCTTCATTATGAACCTTTTTGCCAATCTACCACCACCACCGATGTCGATGGATGAAGGACCGATTGAATGGAAGTCAATCGATAGGCAGACTTCTTCCTTCCAACCATCCAACCAACCAACCAACCAACCAACCGGCATACCAGCAGAGGTTGATAGGTCGGAAGACGACGACGACGACGAGGATGTTGTTGATGATAGTAATAAATTGTAAACATGCCAAGGTAAACCACGGGCCTTCGGCTCTTCTTACCTCCGACCAGCACCACCGACATCAGGTTGATCGAGACGCCGTAGTTGGTTTCGTGATTCAGCCCTTTGAGGTAGACTTCCTCGTTGTGGTCATCAACACGGGCTATCAGCCGGGCCCCGTGCACGTCTATCCGGACCTGGAAAAGGAAGCAAACGGGAGATTAGACGCAGTGCATCGTGTACGTCGTCCGTCGTCGGAGAGATTATCGTCATCATCATCATCATCATCGTCATGCAAGGGTCGAGCCGAGTTCCGGAGCTTTATGAGGGTGTGGACGTAAAATTGCTACGATTAGCAAGAGATGGCTTTGGGAAGATTAAAGTGTATATGGTTCTATCGATTTCAGAAGCGGAGTCGGACCATATTCGTTCCCGAAGGCAGAAACATTGTTATTCCATCAGTCGAAATTGAATTATGCTGAAATGTTTAGATTTTAATTTTCATCATAATTCCATTTTGACTGACAATGGAATCCCCCGAGCGTGGGGTTCCAAGCAAAAGGACACCCCCGGGGATTTCCCAGTAAAGGCTCACACACAGACACACACACATGTTCGCATAAACAATTAGGTTTCCTGGGCCACATGGAGGACGTGACTTTTCTCAGTATGTTAAAGCAGTGCATCCGACAGTGCCATTTTGTGGGTGTGTTTATGCACCAACAACTAGGGCAACAGCAGGACAAATACCTACCATAACGCTGTGCCACTCGTCCCGGTTGAGGCCTTCGCCGACGGTTACGCTGGTCGAGTGGTTGCCGAACACGTGCACCACCTTGAGCTGGCCCTTCTCCACGATGACGTACAGGGCGTACGGGTCGAGCTTGACGCCGGCCGGGGTCTTGACGTTGTGATACACCAGCAGTCCGTGCGGCAGACGGGTGCGAAATTGGAATGATATTTCACGGCATAATCTGAAAATTTAATTAAACAAAATTTATGAGATTTGCGTCCTGTGGGTGTCCTTCTTTGGGCACGGTCCGGACGTGGTGGGTTGGTTTGGTCCGGGTTTCGTTCCCAACCGACAAGGGGTTGGCTATTTCGACGGAACCATCCAGTGAATTGTGATTTCGGTTGTTTATTGTTAGGGTTTGACAAAATAGCTGTTATTTCGGAACTAATCAGTGAGAGTATCGGGTGGTCTATTGGGAATCGAGCGTGGATGGGGACGTATTTCAGGGATTTGGTCGGTTTTGTTTGGGATCTTCAAATAATGGTACGTGAGGTCAACGAAGAGGATTAATTGGCTGTAGATAGAAGTTTGCGGACATTCAAAGTTTGTTGCAAAATGCTAAAATTGAATACACGCTAGCATCAGTGAACAGTGGGTTAGGCAACGGGCTCCAATGTAGATTTCAAAATCTTCAAGTTTTGGTGATGACGTTTTTGTGTGGAATTTACCACATGGGTCTAATTTACAGTTCGGTCTTTTTCGATTCGATACATAAATTTCTGAGTCACATGAAAAACTAGAAGGGTCTGTGCCTATAGGCACGAACGGAAGCTTGACGTAGGACCGCTAGGGGACGGAATAAATGTGAAGAGCATTTAGTTCTTTTAATTGATCAATTATCTATTATCTCAACTCTTTCCGATTTTGAATTGTAGGCGTACCAAATTTGTAGTAATTTTTTCAAAGAGAAAGTTGATTAAGAGAATCAATCAAAATCACTTGCACCCCTGCTTCCAAGTTTGGTTACAAGATCACAACTCTGGAGAGCATTTTGTGTGGTCGGTGGGGGCTTGTGGTTCTGAATATGGACAAACAGGCACAGATAAATGCTATTCCAACTCTTTACTGATATAAGCTTGATGGCCCTGAAAAGAGCCGTTTTATTGTAGAGGACATCCATGGCCACTTACGCTTGGCGTGTTTAGTGTAGGTGACAGCATCAGGAACCTCATTTGCCAGGAACACCTTCAGCACACCTCGTAGATCAGACCGGAGATACGTTTAACACCACTACGGAGAGCCAGACGACCGATGGCCGTTATCTCGAAGAACTTTGCGATGACGCTTGGCGCCTCCTTTACCAGACCTTTTCCTCCTTTGCCACGACCAGTCAATTGTTGCTTTTAGGTGTGAAGGAGTGGACTAGCCACCACCTTCCTACTGCTGCTATTGCTGTTCACCATGGCGTCCGAAGCAAAAATGAGCTAATGCCATAAGTAGTAAAATTATGTTTATTTCTGTTGATTATGGTAGTACATTGATTTATCATTTTAATTGATTAGCCTACTTGGCTCTTCATCTTTGTTTAATTTGATATTCTAATTTAATATTTGCGTTTTTCAACTAGTTTACAGAATATCCCTTTGGGGATGTGTTTTATTTGAATTGAAAAAAGTGATAACCTACCTAACTACGAGTATAACTTAACCTAACGTGCTAGATCACGTATGATCTGATGATTTGATCTCAGACAGGTGTCTCTGAACCTTTCCAGGATAAATACTCTCCGTTCTTCTAATGTTTGAATTCCAGCCAGGAAGTGGATATCAGAATTTATAGTCCGCGGGGGGCTGTTTAGGACCATCCTAAGGATCTTGTTCTGGATCCTTTGGAGTTTAAGGTGATGGCATTTTGCGCAACTCTCCCAGATTGGCATACCGTACTCGATTACAGGAAGGATGATTTGTTTGTAGACAGCAAGCTTATTTTTCAGGGACAGGGTTGACTTCCTGTGGATAGAAAATTCAGACAGAACGTCCAGGCCTCTCTGAAGTTTGGCAGTCAGAGCTCCGATGACCCTACCCTTGTAGACGATGGATGTGTCATCTGCGAACAGAGACAACGATCCACCATCAGGGAGAGCCGGCATATCGGAGGTGAACAGGTTGAATAGGATGGGGCCAAGAATGCTTCCTTGTGGAACCCCGGCACCGATGTTGAAAGCATTCGATGAGATGCCATTCAGAGAGATTCGGAACGTCCTGTCTGATAGATAGTTGTTTATGATCTTCACTAGGAAGATTGGAAGACCGTACTGCTGCAATTTGAACACCAGGCCATCATGCCAGACATTGTCGAATGCTTTTTCAACGTCCAACAACGCCATGGCAGATGTTTTCGAAACACACTTGTTCCGTCTGAGAATGTTTGTTACTCGAGTCAGCTGGTGGACGGTCGAACGACCTTTCCGAAAACCAAACTGTTCCTCGAGTAACAAGTTGTTTTCATCGGCAGATGTTAGGAGCCGGTGGTACAGTGGTCTTTCGAACAGTTTTGATAACCCTGAGAGAAGGCTGATTGGTCGATAACTTGAAGGAGAGGACGAATCCTTCCCAGGTTTCCGGATGGGTATGACTTTAGCTGACTTCCAACACGAGGGGAAGTAGCCAAGTCTGAGGCACTGATTAAAAATCAGTGCCAGATGGTTGTAAAATCTGGAACTCAAGTGTTTTAGTTCCAGATTCAGGATGTTGTCCAAACCTGGGGCCTTCATGTTTTTAGATGATTTTATATAGGCCAACAGTTCGTCAGCCGTAATCTCGGATTCCTCTGGAAAAATGTTAGGAATCTGAAGAACATTGGTTGCATTTTCAGCAAGCTCAGATTCATGAGGGCTGATGATGTTTTGTCCGAGATTATGGGAGCTGACGAAGTGTTGACCTATCGCGGCAGCCTTCTCTTCAGGAGTTATCAGATGAACCACTGGGTCGCTGGGACGATCCAGTGGGGTCAGTGGGGGAATGGGCCTAGGCTTGTTTTTAAGAATTTTTGTAAGTTTCCAGAAGGGCTAAGCACAATCTGGGAGAGAGCGGATCTTACTAGCAAAATCGTTATTTCTGAGATCCACCATCCTGGCCCTTTGTTAATCGATTAAAATTGGTCTTCAAGTTAGGCAGGCCAGTACGCTGGTACTGCCTACGAATGGTGTTACGGAGTCTAATGAGATCTTTGGTAGGGCTGTCAAGGTTCAGAGTGTTACTCACCTGTCTGGATACTGGCACGTGTTGTTCTCTGGCCCGGGAAATCGCCTCCTCGATGGTTTGTAGACACCGGTCAACATCTTCCGACGTCCCCGGTTGGACATCGTAGTCGATGGTTGTGTCGACACAGTGTTGATATTGCGCCCAGTTTACTCGATGGTAGTTGCGCCGGGAAGCTTCGAATCGGTTTACCGAGGATCCAACTTCGGCCACCACCGGGTAGTGGTCCGAGCTCAGCTCCTGGAATGCCACAGGTTGCGATACGTTGTGTCCCATGTTGCTTACGAAGATGTCGATGGTCGCATGGATCCCAGACCGACTCAACCGGGTGGGAGAGTCCGGGGCCAAGATGGTATAGTGGCCTTCTTGCAGGTCTTCATTGAGGATGATGCCGTTTCTATTGCTCCGACCGTTGCCCCAAGTTTGATGTTTTGCATTCAGATCGCCAGCGATGATAAAGTTCCCGATCCTCCGGGTGAGTTTGATGATGTCTTTGCGGAGGGCCACTGACGACCCGTCCCTGATGTTGGTTTGCTTGGGGCAGTAGGCCGCGATGATGGTGATTGGGCCAAGTGATGTGCTCACCTCCACTCCGATGGCTTCAATTGTTTTCAACTGGAAGTTTGGTAGCAGCCGGCAACTGATGTTCCGTCTTGCAGCGATGGCCACTCCTCCACCTCCAGAGCAGGTGCGATCAAGTCTGACGAGCCGGAAGTCGGGAAGGAATACATTCAGTTCGGACTTCAGATGCGTCTCGGTGATGATAGCAATGTCCACTTCTTCACCCCAGCAGGCCTGGGTTCAATCCCAGTCGGCGCCGCCGGGATGTTCTGAGGCATAACATCTCTGATCACGCCTTCCTTCGGATGGGAAGTAAAGCCGTTGGTCCCCGGTTCATGAGTTGATGGGTCGATAGGTAGGGTCCAGGTGTGGGAGCTGCCTTCCTGGCACGTCGGTAGCATTGGTGCTCAGCACGGAAAACAAGATCGACGGAAAAAACAAACCAAAGGAAAAAAAAAAAAATGTCCACTTCCTTGGCGTTGAGGAAATCGAGTATTTTTGTTCGTCAGTGAGCAAGCGTTCCAATTTGCATTTTTTATTGCTTCACGGTCCATACTTGGTCAAGGCAGCATGAAGCTGTTCAGATCGAGTCTTGCAGGTATGCATGATGATGATGACCTCGGCCACGAGCGTCACAAGTTTCTCCGAGGTGAACGGAGAATCGTCGACAGATTCACCTGAGACAGCACCAGCGTATGATAAACCAGGGGCGGTGGATGAACCTGGAATTGGCTGGGCCGCAGCAACAGCGAGACGATGCTGAACTGTCCGACTGTTGGGAACCATTTGGATACTCGCGGGATTGGCTTGTTGGTTGTTGAGCGGAAGCGGGGCTAGGTTCGGAACATGTCGACGGGGCTGGAGAGCTGGGTACTGGACTTCCGTTAGTACAGGAGGCGAACGATGATTACGAAGGCGACCGAGCTGGTTGTTGCTTGTGGCCTTCCGACGGATATTAATGAACTCCACTCGCTTGGGACATCCGCGATTGGAGACTTGGTGGTTTCCACCGCAGTTGACACACGTTGACTCGATGTCATCGACTTGCTCACAGGACGCAGTTGAGTGAGTTCCAGCACACTTGCCGCAGTTTGTCTTCATGTGGCAGTTTTTGGTGCCATGGCTATATGAGAGGCAGTTCATACACTGCGTTACATCACGATGTTGGGGTTTGTAATGCTCCCAACTGATGATGACCTGAAACAGGTCCCGGATTTTGGATCTCAGAGCCGCAAGACTGGTGGATCCCTTCGTGAAATGCACCAGGAACAACTGATCACGGAAGCTGGTGTTTTGGTTGGGACGCCGGTTCATCTGGAACACGGCCTCAGGTTGGAGCCCAAGCCGCTCCAGCTCGGACTTCACCGCAGCAGCCTCGAACGACGGTAATCCACGCAAAACCACCTTCAGTGGCTTGCTCGATAGCAGATCATGCGTGAAGAAGTCCACGTTGTTGTTCTTCAGGAAACTTCCAATTTGTTTGTACTCCTCCAAGCTGGAGCACATGCTTTTTGTACCGATGCTGCAAAGCTTGAAGCGAGGCAGCAGCTTGTGTTTTGCCAGTTCGGCACCCAACTTGGCAACACCCTTCACTGGCGTGAAAAGCGGAGGAATCCGCTCTCGTCTTGCAATGGGAACAGCGTCACCATCGCCATTTTCTTCCGGGAGTACTGCATACTGGTTGGCTTGCAGTACTCGTTTTCCGGCGTCATCCTGCGACGCGCTGGGCTTGATTAGCACCTTCTTTGAAGGGCCCGCTGCTGGCTCATTGGCACGTTTACGCACCATTTGTTTCGTGTTGCAAGTTCAATTAAACTTGCCAGTACGCGAGAAGGTGGCGACACTTCCACGGCGCAACGCGACAGCACAAAACGAAACAAAATCGAATCGAGAACTCGAGCGAAAATACGGACTGAACAGCTCGACAGTCGAGCAAAGAATAAGCTAATGCCATACAGCAGCGCTCTTTTATATCTTTTCAGGTTAAAGCAGAATGATGTGCAACCAAGTGGTATAAAAGCTACAAAGACTCCTCCCATTATGAGTAGTTTGCTATCAAGTAGCGACACGGGCTCTTTTCCTTTTGCATACACGGCGAATGAGAACGACCCAAATTTGAGTTTAGTTTACTCATAATCGCCAAAAGTGCAGGAATTCAGCGATGAGTAAATTTGTCTCATGGTTTCCTGTGGAAAACCTAAAAAATCTGCCAGAAAATGAGGAAATTGACGAAAATTTTATTCAGTCTCGGAGTAGTACCAATAGACTGAGGGAATCCAATCTTAACTTTTCTCAAATTCGGGAATTTTTCCCTGGAAAATCCTGGAAAAACCTGGGAAAACAGGAGGCAAATTTACTCATCGCTGAGTTCCTGCACTTTATTTCTTATTTCTGAGATAACTAAACTCAAATCTGGGTCGATCTCATTCGCCGTGATATCACCTTGAAAGATATCGGCACCGGTGGTTAGCGTGATTACCTCTCACCCCGGCAGGCCTGGGTCCAATCTCAGTCGGTACCACCGGCATGTTCTAAGGCATAACATCTCTGATCACGCCTTCCTTCGGGAAGTAAAGCCGTTGGTCCCCGGTTGAGTTGATGGGTCGATTGGTAGGGTCCAGGTGTGGGAGCTGCCTCCCTGGCGTCGGTAGCATTAATTGGAGCTCAGTACGGAAAACAAATCTCGCGTCACTTTTCAATAATTCCTATCTACATTGATCGATTCTCTTCACCGACACTCTCTTTCGTAAATAACTCGGCTTGACAAATGTTTCCTGCCGTCTTCGTCGAATTAGATGCTAGATTGTTGCTCCTTCCATCGAAAATATCCGGCCGTGGCGATTCAAAGTTGATCAAGGTTGATCAAAATAATTTGTACCCCTGCTTCCAGTTTGAATACATGAGCATTTTGTGTGATCATTGGTTCTGAATATGAACAAACAGGCAGAAGAATTATATTCCTACTCTTTACTGTAATAAGCTTGGTGGCCCTGAAAAGAGCCGTTTTTTGCCAAAGTTCGTGATGATTTAACCTCCGAAACCAAACAGAGTGCGTCTCTGTCACTTCAAAACGTAGATGACATCCATGGCCACTTACGCTTGGTGTGTTTAGTCTAGGTGACAGCATCACGGATCTCATTTTTCAGGAACACCTTCAGCACACCTCGTAAATCAGACCGGAAATACGTCAGACACCGCCACGGTGAGCCAGACGACAGAGAATTTGCGTTTGGTTCTGATTATGGCGATGAGTGTGCAAAATATTACGCAATTCCATCCTCCCTATTCGCACGCGCCCGAGGATCGGAGGCGAATGCCACTTCGACTTGTTTCGTCTACTTACTACTCTCTGACGACTGTGCTGGGGAAGCAGCATATGCATGTAGGTAATTGGTGGATTTGTTAGTTAATTAGACGCTTTTGGACAATGCTGGACAGTTACCAGTTTTTCAATAGTTTCTTGTTGAAAATCAACATTCGGAAGCATTGTTATCGATGCATAGCCATATTTCTGATCGATTGGTGATAAAATTATTGAAATTGGACCAGGGGCAGCTGAGTTATTAACGTTCAAATTCTTTCTTAATTTGTTACATGTTCCATTTTCGGTTTTCACAAAGTGTATCCCCATATAGAAATCAAAGACGTAGTCCTACGTCAATAAATCCCATGCCGTAACTTCATACCCAGCTCTGTCAACTATTAAGAAGGCATTTACTTGATGAACACCGTTGCCTTAGACAACAGCATTCTGTTTATATGACCTAGATCTCAAGATCCAGCAAGAAAAGGTTGTTTTCTCGCACACCATCTCATGTTGCTAGAGCTGTCATTTTTATTGAAATTAGACTTGGATATTTTCCGACACTTACATTGATTAGCACTGTACATTAGACTGATGCAAAATTTGAAATATTTGCTCCACAGTGCTCAAACGGTTTCAAATTGGGCCCTGATTAGCCTCCCAAAATTTGAACTCATTTAGTGAGAAACTGACTTGGCACAAACCATTTGAAGTTTATATGTAAATTACCATGGAGAAACCATAATTTTGGGTCATATCTATCTCAAAGTTCACAACTTCACTCTACGTTAGAAAATAATAGCTGAGCTTGTTGAATATTTTCTTAGCTACAATTTTGTTCAAAACCCCTTTTCGATCAAATGTAAGGAACAAAAATTATTAAGGATTCAAGTCACTGATGTCTTATGATTATGCTCAATCAACTGTTCAGCAGGCAACATTGGTATTTATGGCGCATTTGACTTTTGGCTGAAAAACGATTTTCTGCAAAGTTGTAGCTGATGAAAATTCTCATAAGAATAGCAATAGAATTTGTTAACAGTACAATTTGTAAAAAAAGCTAGAAGATAATGAACAAGAAGTTTGGTTTTCCCATAGTAATTTCCATATAAACTTCAAGTGGTTTGTGCCATGTCAGTTTCTCACTAAATGAGTTCAAGTTTTGGGAGGCTAATCAGGGCCCAATTTGGAACCGTTTGAGCACTGTGGAGCGAAAATTTCAAATTTTGCATCAGTCTACTGTACACTGTCCAATCTTAAATCTAGTGAACGTATGATAATAATTATAGATATTTTGAAACATCAGCACATCGTATATGTAAGTATCGATTCGTCTTACCATTCGAATGCATTCTCTAAGTCTTTACGCCCTACTCGATTTCTACACACTTTGTGCCAGTAGGTTTATAATTTATGCCCTGTACATGGTCGCGGCACCGATGCCTCCAATATTCCAGTTAGTAAAGGCACGGCACACCATGTCGAAGGCGGTGGGATCGATTTCCACTCCGGACATGAAATTTTCCATACTAAATATGTCGCATACCACACCGAATTGCCACACAAAATACGAATGCTATATGTTACAGGCTGGGAAAGTTCTATGGAAACACTGAAAGCTGAGGGCCGGCATAAAGTTCCAGTTGCGACGTAAAAACCTAATAAGGCGACGGTCATCCACCGTTGCGTGAATGTGTCCATTTCTGCGGAACCAACCCATTACAAACTGCTCCGTCCGCCCGGTGGTCGTCCATCCCCTTTCTCAGCTTACCTTAATTGAAATGTTTGTATTGTTTCCCCGTCCATCTGGATGAACGTGTTGTTCTTGGCGAACAAGAACGTTTTCTCGTAGCCCGTTTCCTTGAACGTGAGCTCCGAGCCCCTCATCTCGTCCGACAGCGGCGCCCGTGTGCTACTGGACGAGTACCGAGGCGACAGGGCTTCCTGTGTCTGGGTCTGCACCGTCGTCGATGGGTTGTCGGTCGTCGATGATGACTGCACCGAAGGCTGCGTTTCTGCGTCCATTAGAAATTGATGAGAATTGCGTGTGTCGAGGATGTTCGGACGAGACGATGCAGAGAGGCTGGCGTGTGTGTTATGAAGTTACGAAAAGCTAATAATTCTGGAATGCTTTTGTTCTTGCAGTCACTCGTAGCCATGAAGCGTTGCTGATGGACATTCGCTCGCTCGCCTTCGGTGGCAGGTCAAATTGAAAATCCTTGTTCCGATTGGACACAATCCAGCCTCTCTGCTCTCTCAGGTCCATTTCGAGAAGGCACATATACTCACGTGTCTCATTAGTGCACTGTTGTATGCACATCTCGTACGTTTCGAAATTGTTCTGCAGATTGCCTCCGCAGCCGCCCCAGGTGAACTGGGTGCAGTTCTGGGTTGTTTGATCGAAGAAGTACCGATTGTTGACACCCTGGCACGGACCTGGATTTTCTGGTCCAACACATTTTTCTATTGGCAGAGGAAAAAAACATACAGATATCATCGTTATGATCGGAATCGATGTGATTCGGATGGAGAGAAGCGAAAAAAAACATGTGAACACAATAAAAAGATAGGAATCAAAACTTCATACTAGGCGCTTCGGTACTGGCCGGGATGATCGATGCCGTGCACGGTGGTGTGAAAATACTGAGGATGGCAACGGTGGCGATGGCAATAGCTGTTCGATGACCTGAGGCAGCGACATGGTGATTTTGGTGCATTCTTTGGTTTGTTGGTATGCTGCAATGGAAGAAAAGGAAGGAGGCGTGTTAGCAGCGTTGCCAGTTGGTCAGTTTCAAAATCAAACAAATCGAATTTCATTTAAAAAGAGATACTTATATATCATCCGGTCTTGACAAATTCATTGTTCAAGAATGAATCTGTTAGAAATCCTCATAAATTTCCTTATCATTAAAGTGAAAGAATTACCAAAATTATCGAAACAGTTCTCATATTGGGGTCTATTTTAAGGTTATTTTAGACCGATTAAATCTAATGTGAAATGTGCTTAGGAAGATCGAAAAAATAAGTCCGTCTTGGGAAAACGTTTTGTTTTTAATTTATAAAACAAAATTTAGTTATTTTATATATTAATCATTGTGCCCAGCCAAGATAAATTGACGATTCTATTACTGCTCATCGATTAATTGATGAAGGTGATTTGCAGATTGAGTTGTTTTTACCTGAAGTCATTTTGCTTGATCTAATTCCGTTTAGTGTTATGACAGCATTAATGGTGTTTATCTTTCGATAGTTTTGTTGTGCGATCATTGCAACGAGGTTCTATTCCAGAGTTGGACCAACAAGTTGCGTGACATCCTCGATAAGGGCGATTATCATCCATTGAGGCTGTGTTCCATTTGGTGAATTTTCACTTTAATTTGACAGTTTGAAATTTTTTAAATAAACCTGCTATTGCACCATACTTATTTCTGACAGACCAGGAATCAGTTTTGCAAACACCGTCTCGAAAATCGAGCGATCAACAACGGAGGGAATTTCGAACATAATAATTTATTTTCGAAATGTCAAATTTCAGTGAAAATACACCAAATGGAACACAGCCTGAAAGCAGTTAATCAGGAAGTGTATCTACATAACATGAAATAAGTGGAAGCTCAATCGCTTTCGAAATACTTCCCTACTGCCTTGGATTTTTTGGAACAGTTGACCCTTTTGCCGAATGAAACTGCTGCTATGGTTCGGAAGGCAGGCACTGATGCATGCCTCCCAGGAAGTTTTGGAATTGGATTCCTTGTCCCTTCCGTCGTCAGCATCGGTAGAAATATTCCTTCTACTATCGCTAGTATTATTACTCGACTATAGTTACGTCGGCATTTTCTTGAGATTCTGCGTTTGAAAGCCCCACTCGATTTATTTTTTCTACACGGCCAATGAGATCAACCCAAATTTGCGTTCAGTTTACTCATAATCGCCAAAGGTGCAGGAACTCAGCGATGGCGGAAAATGGGGGAAATTGATGAAAATTTTTCTCAGTCTAGGAGTAGTACGGTAATAGTGTAAACTCCACAATGGCGATCCTGCCAGGTTTTTATTGTTTAGAATAGGAAATTACTAAAAAGAACTTATTGAAACACCTATACGAGAATCACTCAGCTAATTGATATTTTTATTCGGTAAGTACAAAAAAAAAGTTAAGTGTCTGGAAGAAAAAGTGGAACAAAACAGAAAAGTGCGATGGTGGCCTCGCTTGCTGGGTTAGATTTTCTGTGCCGTCACGCCATGTCAGCGTTGCCAGATATACCGATTTATCGGCATTTATACCGATTTCCAAACTAGATACCGATTTACAGATAAGTTTCCTCAGAATACCGATTTTTAAGATTTAATACCGATTTATACCGTTTTTTTTTAAATAATCACAATTATTTTTTTTTCCTTTGGTTTGTTTTTTTCCGTCGATCTTGTTTTCCGTGCTGAGCACCAATGCTACCGACGTGCCAGGAAGGCAGCTCCCACACCTGGACCCTACCTATCGACCCATCAACTCATGAACCGGGGACCAACGGCTTTACTTCCCATCCGAAGGAAGGCGTGATCAGAGATGTTATGCCTCAGAACATCCCGGCGGCGCCGACTGGGATTGAACCCAGGCCAGCTGGGGTGAGAGGTAATCACGCTTACCACTACACCATCGGCACCGTTAAGCACAATTATTTGCCCGCGATCGAATTTCAGAGAAATTTTTTGTGAGAGACTTGTATCTTTTTGACTACCTTATATTTTTTTAGCCTTCAAAATTCTAACAAATCATCTCTAAAGATGCCTTATCCTTGATACGGCAAATATATTATAAACATTATTTAACTTCCGGAAGTTTTTATTCATTTAAAAACTTCCTGAAGTTTCATCCAACTTTCCCTGGAATTTTCTTCCACCTTACCTTGGAAGCTTCTTCAGCCGTCGCTCGAATGATTCTTTCATCTTCTCCCGCCAGCTTTTTTAACTTTCCCGGAGCGTCAAGGATGCTATCAGATTTGTATTGCGGATCCACACTCGCTGCAGGCACATTAAAAAAGTTCTGAAACTTCAGAAAAGTCTAGACTTTTGTGTAAGTTTCGATAAATTAAAGACAGTTTAATTAATTTCTCTTAAAATTCGAAAACCCTGAAATTTCAGAAAAGTCCAGTTAACTTAGGAAACATCATAAATATTTTGGAAACTTCACAAGTCTAAAGAACTTCAGGGTAATTTAATGGTTTTCAGGAACTTTAGACGTCAATTCTGTTCATTTTGATTTATCCATGACGCAAGAGATTCGCGGAATCCCAGAGCATCATCGTTCCATGATTGCTCCGTCAATTTTCGCTGCAAAGTTTGGCCAAGTTGATTCCGCAAGATCGTTCTTCACAGATGGATCACTAATAGAGGCGTCCGCAGGTTTTGGTATTTTAACGAATTTCATAGCGCCTCTCGAATGCTTCATGCTCCTTGTTCCGTATATGTTGCTGAACTGGCGGCAATACATTATACGCTAGAAACGATCGCCTCACTTGCACCAGATCATTATTTTATTTTTACGGATAGTCTCAGTTCTGTCGAGGCTATTCGCTCCATGAGGCCGGTAAAGCACTTCTCGTATTTTCTCATGAAAATACGAGAGCTTCTAAGTGCTTTATCTTTAAGATCTTTTGTCATCACCTTTGCATGGGCCCCATCTCATTGCTCGATTGCGGGCAATGAGAAGGCGGACTCGCTTGCAAAGGTGGGCGCTATGGAAGGCGATATTTAAGATCGACAAATCGCCTACGACGAATTTTTCTTCATTTATCGTCAACAGTCACTCGCCAGCTGGCAAAATAAATGGAGTGAAGCGAGTTTAGGACGATGGTTGTATTCAATTATCCCTAAGGTGTCGAAGTGTCCTTGGTTCAAAAGTTTGGAGGTGGGTCGAGACTTCATTCGTGTGATGTCTCGCCTCATGTCCAAGCACTATTCACTAAGCGCTCACTTGTTCCGTGTTAGGCTGGGGGACAGTAATCTCTGTGAATGTGGACAAGGTTACCAGGACGCAGATCACATTATTTGGTCATGTGCTGAGCACCGTGGAGTCAGATTCGAGTTGTACGATTCCCTTCGGGCTCGAGGTAGACAACCTAATGTTCCAGTTCGGGATATTTTGGCTAGACGCGATCTGGAGTTTATGCAACTCATATATGTTCTCTTGAAGAATATTAACCATAGATTGTAAGTTTGATTAACCTTGTGTTTAGTTTGTATTTTGTATGTGTGTGTGTGTTTTTTTTTGTAGATTTGTTTCTGTAATAATTGTATAATTACAGAGTTGATATAACGTCGGTAGGATTAAGTATATGTTTTAGAAATAGTGAAATTTTTAAATCATAAATCATATTCCAAATCTCCTTTTCCCTCTCCCGATCCAAACAATTGTCATCCACTAACCTCGAGAAGACCGCGAGTAATCGGTTCAAATCCTTTAATTTTAGATTTAAGACATTTATAATGTATAAAGAAAATGATAACTTGGCTCTGTAAAGTTTATTCGATTGAGCCTGTACAAATAAAGTAATTAACAAAAAAAAAGGAACTTTAGTGAAGCTCAGAGAGCATCAGGACAGATCAATTAGTTCAATGAAATTGCTGAAATTATAAAGGAGTTCCGAGAAACTCAGACAATTTCCGAAAATTTCAGCAATGTCCATGCAAATTTAGGAAACGTAAGAGTAGTTACATGAACATTAGATCATTGTGAGAACATTTTATGGGGGAAGTTCTATGCTTTTTAATGGCAGTGTCAATAACTTTAAAAAAATAAAAAAATTGGAAGATCAGAGAACTTCAATGCTTATGTTATAATAAAATCAAGAAAATTGTGTGAGCACTTAAGCGATTTCGTAATCTTCAAGAAAGTCCAGAGACCTTCTAAGATGATTAGAGATATTCCAGTAGTCTTATTATAATCAGGGAAGTTCCGAGCGCTTCGAGGATGACCAGAGAACTCCAAAACAGCCCCTAGTTTCAGGAAAATTACAAGAACTTTTAAGGAATTTCGAGGAATTGTGGAATATTCCTAAGTGTATTTCAGGAATGTTCTGAAAGCTTCAGGGAAATTTCTGAGTCTTCAGGGATGTTTTTTGAATATCAGGAAAATTTTCTGGATCATTGGATCATCATTAGAAAATTTTCTGTATCCCCCATGAATCTCTTTCTTCCAGAATTATGTCCTTGTTTCTTTCGACTGTTCCGTAAACCCTCTGGCTTCCGACTTTTTTTTTCAGATGTTTGTTTCAATCTACCAGTTTCTGCCAGCGTCTCCAGGAAGTTTATTTCGTCTTTTCAAGGAAGTTCAATTAATTCTCCCAGAAATTTCTTTCTTCTTCTTCTGGAAGTTTGACCATAAGTTAAAGTTTTTTTTTTATTCGACTTCTGTTGGAAGGTTTTTCCGAGCTTCTTCTGGCTTTTCCTGGAGATGGCTACTTCTGGAAATTTACTTCTGGTTTCCATATTTAAATTTTCGCCACAAGTTTCTCAATTCGTGTCTTGGAAGTTTCACGGAGGTTTTTCCAGCTTTTCTCGAACTTCATCCAGGAGAGCTTCTTTCGTCTTTCTCTGGATATTTTTCCAGCTCCATTCAGAAGCTAATTCAAACATTCCCCGGAGCTTTCTTCCGGAATTTTTCGATCACAGTTCAGAAGCTAAAATGTTGCTTTGATTAACGGCTTTCTCAGTCTTTAAACATTGCAACGACTACGATGTAA